ATACATGACCCACACACTGTCCTGACTGGCGACGAAGTCGTCTAGAAGTCCAGTCATTGCGCGACCCAATCTCTGATGAAATAATTCATTATCCCTAAGTAGGCAGACAAATGTATGCTTATCGCCACAACCAAGGCCGGTGCTATCAATACATCCTTATCTGTTGACGTCTGTCGGTTGGTCTAGTTGCATAATTAACTGAATTCCGTTATATCGGGAAGGGAGGTTAAAAGGAAGGGGGAAAAAAAAAGGGGGGGGGGGGGTTGAGACCGCCACGATATAGCGGCTAGAGGCTCTCCCGCAGATCCGAAGGCAGTGGGTTCAAATCTGAATGGAGCCAGGCTTTTTCTTTTCAAAAATGACCTTGGCTCCCAGGTCGACCCAGTATTAAATGGGTACACGGTAAAACAACTGGGAAGTAAAGTCTACCGGTGTGACTTTGACCACATCATCCACCGAGTGACAACTGGTCTATAAAAAGTAGGTCTAGAACTATATGCCAAATACATCGGAAAGCGTGGAAAAATGCCCTTTCCTAAACGACATTAAATCAACACGGTACAAGTTTCTTTAGCATTCAAGGTTATGATTACAACTAATAATTTAGCTAAGGATATCCGTAAGCATCCTTACTCTTTGGAATCTGTAGAAAATGACATTGTATAGCGGCTGGTCGAGCGGTTACAACATCAAGCATCTTACGAGTTCGACCCCTTAGTTAGGTGATGAAATTTTTCTTTCAGGAGACAAATTAAACATCCCAACCTGCACTGTCCGTGGCGATTGCACTACAGGGGGTGTCTTAATCCTCAGGCTCAAGGCCCCATGTCTACACCGCCCTAAACAGTGGTAAAACAGACAGTGGAGTGTGAGAGGCGGAGCAGGCACACACCTGTTGTCAGCGTCTGTTTTCATCCTTCAAGTTCACATCCATACCAAGGTCTAGGAACTCCTTAACAATCCCCATTGTGCTAAACAGCACCGCGGGTAGTACAAGTTGTCTCTTTGGGGTTAGCTCCTGCTCGTAAGAAGGCCTTACAGATAACCAAGAAGTGAAATTTATTATCGTGCGCAGAATTACTACAATTTTCTTCTTTCTCATCATCATCATTATCATCCAGCGCGTTTTTTCTCAAGGAAATTACATCACCGTGTATTGACTGGCGCTTATTTAAGGCAGGAATAGCAGTGACGAGAGGGCGAGAGAAAGATAGAGGACGAGAGAGAGCGAGAGAGAGAGAGAGAGAGAGAGAGAGAGAGAGGGCGAGAGAGAGAGAGAGAGAGGGCGAGAGAGAGAGAGAGAGAGAGAGAGAGAGAGAGAGAGAGAGAGAGAGAGAGAGAGAGAGAGAGAGAGAGCAAATAGAAACGGCCTGAGAGGCGAGAATGATTGTTTGACACCGAGTTGATCTCATTCTCACAAACAGTAAGTTATTATATGTAGTCTTAATGCAGTTGTATCGTTGTCCGTGTTGTATGCCGACAAAGGCTTTTCATCTGCAACGTTCATGTTGCCCTCGACTTTTTCGAGAAGCTTATCAGTTCTGCATATGGTTTGGGTTGATTGTTTTTTTTTTCCAAAAAGAAACGGGTGTGTTAACTTCCATCTATCCATCCATTATTGTAAAACAAAAACAACAAAAACCGACCATGTTCATTTCAACACCTTATATAGGTGCTTGCCGGAATTGTTAGAAGAAGGAATGGGAGAGCCTTGCGACAACTGGAAAGACTGACTGAAAAAGAGCAAGGGGACGGCAACAAGATAAATACCTGGACGTGCTGGCCATACAGATGGAATGAACAATAGCGCATACCTCATCCCTAATGCTGGTGATCGTGTTGGAAGAGGACAATTAACAGTGAGGATAAATTTGTGTCAAGCATCGAACATAAGCTTGTAGACCCAAAGACAAAGTGACCACTGCAGCTATGCATCGGGTAACTGACACTCAGATACAAACAAACAGAACAGTAGAAATCAGAGGGAGGGGGGAGAGGTGAAATAGAGAGTGTAGTTCAGAGATAGTGTGTATGTGTGATAGGGGAGGAGATAAATAAATGAGCTGGATATAGTAGATGACAGGACAGATAGACAGAAGACATACAGAAATATAGATAGATAGATAGATAGATAGATAGATAGATAGATAGATAGATAGATAGATAGATAGATAGATAGATAGATAGATAGATAGATAGATAGATAGATAGATAGATAGATAGATAGATAGATAGATAGATAAGATAGATAGATAGCAGGCAGCAAAAGAAACAGGGAGGGTGGGAGCGGATCGAGGCCATATACAAATATTTTTTTTCTTTGCGTTCACCGGCTTTAAATTCCGGCAAAAAGTTCTGGCTGTTCGCACACTTCTGGACTCTAGTCCTGTTCCAGATACTGAGTATTGCGTGCACATCCGTTTCAAAGATCTGACTGATCTGCGTGCATACTGTTGATTCCTTGCCACAGGCAGATGAACTCCGTTTTCAAAGAAAGCTCTAATTAGTCGACTCTTACGTCATGCTTGTGGGCACGCAGTGGGTCTATTTTTGTTTTCCCCACAATGGGCTCCCGGTACCCAGACCGGGAACGTATGATCCTAGTGGCGTGACAGCAACAACAGTTACAAAACCATTTTAAATAACCATATAATAAATGCAGCAAATAGTTGTGAACATGCCACATAACTCACACTGGCGAGCATGTTATCTCTCTAGTCTTCCATAATTGTCACCGCCTCAAAAAAAAAAAAAAAAAGCATGTTCACGCACAACCTTAATGGTTTCTTACGTGGTCATATAGTGAACCCTAAAGTCGTAAAACATAATTTTGTCTTATCATCACATAACTACTAATTTAACTTTTAGATTATCTAATTAATCATGATCCAATTTCACATTTTAACAACATTTTGCTGTAATTTAACCCTTTCTTTCCCTCTTAAATATTAATTTATAAACGCAAGTTGTCGTAAAAGTATCGACAGGGCCATGTTAAAGACACCACGATTGGCTGATATTAATACTTGGCACGTGCAAGAGGAGTGACCTCATGGCCTTGACCCTAAAAGAAGTAGGTTTCTGGTCGGAGCCGAGCGATCAGCTGGGCTTGTCGGTTCTAACTTTGATTTCTTTCTTTGTTTCTTCTGCAAAACCCAGGTGAACTTAATTCGTGTGCGAAATTATGTTGTTGTAAAATAGTATTATGCAGATCAAATTACTAGAGCAGATGCAATGTCTGTCTTTTCTTTGGTAATGTTTACACGTGTGCATTGTGTTGGTGGAGGCTTGTCTTTGGAAAAAAAAATTATGTTGTGTATGGATCGTCTGCCAGTGTTTGGGTGGCTCTACCACTTCGAGTAGTTCAGAACCTGGATAGTCGTGGATTTATTTAAAATAACACCTTATTTACTGTGTATTTCAAATAAAGTAGCAATTATACACGTTAAGTCAAATATTGATAGGTAAATTATTGAAGGAAATGAAAGAAACGTGAGTGAAATATTTCGGTCAACGCAGGAGGACTAGAGAGGCAGAGAAAAAACGTTTTAGAATCGTAAAAGAGGTTGAGTTTCGGAGGCAAATTAATTAGCTACTGGGGCAAAAAACACTTCTGCCACATAGAAAGACACATTTTTCTACCAAGGAAAATGTCTTAAGAACTTTGCTGCCAGTATTAAACATAGACCATAACTTACTAAAATCTCATATTACATTAGTAATACTATTACTACAGCTTCCATACTCATTATTGCCCCTATTTTGCTATTTATTAATTGAAGGTATGAGTATGAGGAGAGATGGTGTCTGGACACTCATCTACTCATTTATATCGCATTATCAGCTTCATAGGTAGAATATTGTTGTAGCAGTTAACCTTTGCATGTTAAGTTGTTTATAGTTATTGAAAGAAATACAAATTCAAGAGAAATGATAAATATTTTGTTCAGTATAAAAGACATAAGAAAGTCATGTGAGAAGGCAAACCAGGTACTGGGAGAGATATCCTATCAGTGTCAGACATAGACCCTTACTTCAACTGTCTTTATTGTCCTCATTTCACTTTTTTTTTTTAGGGCAGTAGAAGTTTTGAGTGAGGATTTGGGTCCACCTTGCTAGTACAGTCACCAGAAACTGCCAATTCATCATCATCAGTCAACATATTCTTCACAGAATATTGTGCGTGTTCCACTGCACACCCAAAAGTCTGTCTTTCTGTAGCCTATTCCCCAGCTGTATATGCCTTTATAGCCAGTATATCTTTAGTGTCTTGTATCTGCGTTCGCGGAGGTCTGCCTCTGCATTGTTTTCCAGAAACTACCCTCCATCACTGTTCTCTCCATGCCACTGTGGCATTTAACATTATTTGCATACCTCAGCTTTCGAGACAGGATGCTGTTAATGAGCCAGTTCTTAGTCCAGAAAACCAAAGATCAGAATCTGCGAAGAGGATGCAAACCTACTCTATCCCCCAAGACAATAAATCATTTGTGTTATGAGTTTGTCGGCTTGTGGCTAAGTTGATGCGAATGCTTCATATTGCCGGGTTCGATCCCATCTGCGGGCCATGCTCCTTTCTTTGGGGTTGACAGTAGTATCAAGAAAGCAGTGACAAACTACTGGATGTAAATTTGCCTAGAAAAACCACACAACAGCCAGGGGCTGTTGGGGTTGGTTCTACAATGTCCTGTAAAGAATACGCAACTAACCAATTATGAGTTTAATTACCTCACAACTGTCAAAATATATATACTACATAAACATCATTACAGCCCTGTAACATCATTTATTATTTTTCCTTCCAGGTGATGATGTAAAACACGAGTAAAATTTTGTCTGTACCTAACAGTAGTGACTTGTATCTACGAGTGGCACTGTAGCCAACAGAACTGAAGTTACTTGTATCAGTGCAAGGGGTCTAGAAGTGCAGTTTATTTCCTTATAACGGCTTTGCAAGTTTCCTGATTTCAGTAGGTTTGGTCATAATCTGTTCAGATATCATGTCTGTAATTGACTCGCATTCTTTGAGTGAATATATAGATGCTTTGCACTTGGAAAATGGTGGGGACATTGACATGATTCTGAAGAATCGAATGGTCATGGAAACCCTAGCTAGTACACAGATGTCTTGTCTGAGCCTGGCGTGCCGAATTGGTAATGTGAGACTTGTTACAACCTTGCTGGAGCAGGGCGCAGATGTTAATGTGGCTGAAGAAGATGGGATGTCACCCCTGCATATCTTGTGTAATAGTGAGAAGCACAGTTTTGTTCGTATAAAAATTGCCAAGTTGTTACTGCGACATAAAATAGATATAAACATGCAAGATTTTTATGGCCGGACTGCTTTACTTCTGGCATGCCACAAAAATCAAATTGGTCTGGTTGACTTGCTTATCCACGCTGGGTGTGATGTCAACATTCCTGATAAGAATGGTGATACACCTTTCATCGTAGCTTGCAGAATGGCCTCTGATGGCTGGTACTTTTGGATTACTGACTGCCTAATTGAGGATGATGATAATGATGATGATGAGAAAGAAGAAAATTGTAGTAATTCTGTGCAAGATGATAAATTTCCTCCTGTGGTTATCTGTAAGGCCCTATTACGAGCAGGAGCTAACCCCAAAGAGGCAACTTTGTTACCACCAGCGGTACTGTTCAGCACAATGGAGACCGTTAAGGAGTTCCTAGACCTCGGTATGGATGTGAACTTGATGGATGAAAACAGACGCTCACCGCTGGGGTGTGCCTGCTCTGCCTCTCACATTCCACATAGCATGGTGAAACTACTGTTAGAAAGAGGAGCAGATGTGAATGAAGACGGAGGTGGCAGGAAAAGCAAGCCAATAATTTTAGCCTATGTTTATAACTCTGTAGATAAAATTCGCCTCCTGCTGTCCTATGGTGCCAGCATCAGCTGTGAAGAAATGTCAGATCTAGTCTCCATCAGCCTGTCCAAATGGTTTCTGGAAAACCCAGAAATCATCCATGAGGAAAGCCGTGAACTTTTATCCTGGAAGCTACTGCTGAAAGCGGGATTCCGACCAAAGCTACCACACTTGGGCGTGAAACTCAAGCGTGTTTCCTTGTGTAGCAGCTACAGCAAGGTTAGCCCTTGGATACATAACCTAATGTCGCCCATGTTGTCTTTGTCGGACATTTGCCGTATAACCATTCGTTCACAGCTCAGACCTTGTGTGGATGACAATGTGGAGAGTTTACCTTTGCCCAACGGTCTGAAAGGATTTCTGAAATTCAATGAGTTCACAACCACAGTATTTAGAAGGAATAGCAGTAAATAGCACATAGATGCTGTTTTAGTAATACTTATTCATGTTAGTAACTAATTGACTTAAGTATTTATGTGTGTAATATGTACTTTATTTTCCAATATGGCACTTTTGAGTTTAATGCTTTCTTGATATCTATAAATATATCTGATTGACTGATTTTGTTCACTGTCGGCTACCACCTGTTGGTTTGACAACCCCTCTGTCTCAAAGAGTCGTATCCTGGATGACATTCTAACAGGGCATATCCTAGATCCCCATTTACCCTCTAAGAAGTTATAATTAAAGCTCCAATTTGGGGTTGTGTTTGCCTGTATGGCTTAGAGATTAATAACCATGTTTTCATAGTGTGTCATATTACAGTCCTCAACACACTAGATTTTTCTTCTTCTTCTTTCATTCACATGAAATAAATTATCTATATCTGCAATGCTGTCTCTAGTATTTTTTTTTTTTTTTTTATCGATCACCGGCTGTGAATTCCAGTGGAAGGTCCCGGTTAATCGTCCGCTTGGACTTTTGGCTTTCACCTGGACCTGATTTTTGCGTGTACAACCGTTTTTCATTTCCCTGCCTCATGGGCAGCTGTACTCCGACTTCGAAGGAATGTCTCTAGTATGAATTTTATAGTCTTTTGTAACTCACTAAGCGGCCCGTAAAGTTTGACTTCCACAAGTGTCTCGTTTTGCCTGGAAGCGTTGAATCTGGGACAGTCTTAGAGGATGTGATCTGTTGTCTCAGGTGCCAGTCCACTTGTTACACTAGATTTTGATTTTGGCCTTGAGTAGATCAGAAAAGGGACTGTTTTCTCATGGTTTCAGACAGTGGTGTGAGAGTCCTAGAGTGGAACAGATTAGGCTTCTCCACACAGTATTCCCAAAGACAGCAATAGGTAAACATATCTGCTGCAGCCAACTTGCAGAGACTGAACCATTTTGTTTTTGTTTGTTAAATTTGCTACACCGCAAACTACTCTTTTGGAGTCTCCTTGGCGAATTGGTCATTTGCCTTGCGCTCTGAAAGTTGCTGGTTGATTTCATGGCTGCATCATTCAGTTTACGAGTGCAGTTTCTGTTCAGATCCCTGTGGGATTGTCACTGGAGTTAAGTGTTGTGCAACACTTTTATCAGTTGGCTAGCCATTCTGCTGATAGAGACTGATCCATATAGAATAAAAACCCTGTGCAGTGGAGTCGATCCTTTTGATTTTAACCTTTGTGTAGCCTGCTGTTCAGTGTGGGTAAGTAAAAGAACCTTTTCATGGCTAATCTAGTGCCAGACCTATATTTTATAGACCAGTTGGCATTCTCTAGATCAGTGGTTCTCAACCTTCCTAATGCTGTGACCCTTTTAGTAAAGTTCCTTATGTTGTGATGACACTCGACCATACAGTTATTTTCAATGCTACTTCATTGAATATGTATTGTCCAGTGGTCTTAGGCGACCCCTGTGAAATGGTCATTCAACCCCGAAAGGGTCACAACCCACAGGGTTGCTGTGGTCAACATAATGCTGGCCACCTTGACTTTCCAGGACATTTCCATTTAAGGCTGGGTTGACTTGAGCGCTAAGGTCATTTCTAAAAGAAGAAAAAAAAAGTCAGGGTTGAGGAATAATAATGCTTCATAGAAAAAGCATGTGTTTGTTGTTAAATGACCGCAATTGTGATGTATGTATTCAGTGATATATTGTGTGTGTGTGTGTGTGTGTGTGAATATTGCTGTACTTGTCAGCCAAAACTAGCCATACTCTATTTTTTTATTGTCTAAATTCTGAATTTATGTTCAAGTCAGAGACTTCAGTTAATGTGTCATGGCCAGCTGATCACATGCAGTTTTTTTTTTTTTTTTTTGCTGCATTTTTGAATTAATTTAAATCCGTTATTTAACATGAATATATTCTCATTTGCTTTTCTACTCTGTGTAAAATTTTGTATAGCTGTTATTTTTTCATGTTTTAGATATATCATTTTATTGATTTCTTAAAATATCTTTTATGTTATTCTCATTGTTATCCTTCCTGGACATACCAATCTGTGGAATTATTACTTTGTTGAAGGGCAGCGTTCAACACTGTACTGCCTCCCTTTGGTTATATTATTGAAAAATACTGATGCTGTTGTGCATGATTATAGTGTAGGAATTGAATGTTGAATTAAGAATTGACATCACAGCACTTGGGACACTCCCTTCACCTCCATAAGTGTAAGAGTTAAGGAATTAGAAATAGAAAAATACATAACTCTTTTTCTGTCCTTTAAAATTTGTTTGTTCACTGGCATTTATTATATTGGCCATGCACTCAAGATGGATAAGACAAGACTGCCCTCAGCAAGTCCTCATATGGACACTGGAAGGGAAAAGAAAACGGGGAAGACCAAGGGAGACCCTGTGTAGAACTATCATCAGAGAAGGCTCAACCATGGGCCTAGTGAACATTCAAGACCTAAAACAAGTGGCTACGCACAGCCAGACATGGAGAGCTATGACCTCTGTCCTATACACCGTCTTAGGCTCAAGTAGAAAGACTAAGACTAACTAGCTGGCATTTAGTGATCTACTTTTCTTCTGGGAGGCAACAGATATTGGAAAAAACACTCTGGGGTTTAGAGGTTAGCAAAACAATTAACAGTGTCATGATCCTCGAGTACCCGGGTTCATTCCCCACAGTGGACGTATGAAACAAAACAAAAACTAATATTGTTAGCTTTCTGTAACTGGTGCAACTTTCACCACACACAAACAAATATATATATCTGGTAGTCTGGTAGTCTTAGTTTCAGCTTCATAGCAAACGGGTCACCCAATCTTTGCTCCGCTCCTGTGCCAGCGAAAAACACACAGGATGTTTATCACAGTCCCTTGTGGAAATTACTCCTGCATTTTGCAATCCTTGAGAGTTAATGTAACTATTCTAGTCTCATAATTCCAGCATACCTGAGTTTAAAGTGTGCTGCAGGTGAGTTGGAACAAAACGAATGAACACTTTTTCTAAAGGGTCACAAACTGGGCACACAGGTTTATCTTAAATTCAGCCTTTTCAAACACTGTCGAAACCAATGCAAGACGGTCTACTGCCAAATTGCCTGCAGCCGGGATTGAACCCAGCATTATGAAGCGCGTTTGCAACGCTTAAGCCACAGACGCTGACATCGTGGCAAAGTACTGAGGGTATAACTGCAGATAATTGCGTATCCGTTAACATTACTTAATGAAAACAGCCAACAAATTCTGTGGTTGCTGTGAAACATTTGGAAAATGATATGCAACTAACTAAAGTGATCAGTACTCCCAATAAGCATTCTCTCTGGAAATATAAATGCACATCATGAGAAGACGTCAGAGATTCGAGATTACATTGTTCAGATTGAGAGGAGAAAAGTAGGTCAGTGTTGATAACCTTACAAAATATTTCAGGCTTGATGAATTGACGGAAATGTCTTCATGTGGATTGGGCCATCTTTAAGTCCCCCTTCAACCTGCTTAGCCAGCCTTGGTTACACTTTGAAGTGATTGGTCAAAGGTTGACCTTTGTACTATAGGGTACATCATGTGGTTTTCACTGCCCCATTGTTGGGGGGGGGGGGGGGGGGGGGAGAAAAAAATACATTGTCCCTTAAAAAGATGGTCATAAATGCTACTAATTAAGGATTTATGTGTGATTGTCCAAACAAATTCAGACAGCAATGATAACATCTAACAAATCTTAGGGAGCAATAACTTATATATTGTCCAAATTTAGACAGCAATGATAACATTTAACAAATCTTAGGGAGCAATAACTTGTATATTGTCCAAACAAATTTAGATAGCAATGATAACATTTAACAAATCTTAGGGAGCAATAACTTGTATATTGTCCAAACAAATTTAGACAGCAATGATAACATCTAACAAATCTTAGGGAGCAATAACTTGTATATTGTCCAAACAAATTTAGATAGCAATGATAACATTTAACAAATCTTCGGGAGCAATAACTTGTATATTGTCCAAACAAATTTAGACAGCAATGATAACATTTAACAAATCTTCGGGAGCAATAACTTGTATATTGTCCAAACAAATTGAGACAGCAATGATAACATTTAACAAATCTTCGGGAGCAATAACTTGTATATTGTCCAAACAAATTTAGACAGCAATGATAACTTCTAACAAATCTTAGGGAGCAATAACTTGTATATTGTCCAAACAAATTTAGACAGCAATGATAACATCTAACAAATCTTAGGGAGCAATAACTTATATATTGTCCAAACAAATTTAGACAGCAATGATAACATTTAACAAATCTTAGGGAGCAATAACTTGTATATTGTCCAAACAAATTTAGACAGCAATGATAACATTTAACAAATCTTAGGGAGCAATAACTTGTATATTGTCCAAACAAATTTAGACAGCAATGATAACATCTAACAAATCTTAGAAAGCAGAGATAACCTATATATTGCCCAACCAATCTGAGACAACAGTAATAATACAGTTTCTGTATTGCCCAAGCAGTTTGAGATAGTGGTGGTAACAGTTTGCATGCTGCCTTGCCAATATTAAAATAGTAAGTACATATATCCAGAATTTTTTTTTTTTGACATTCCGATGATCTAAACAATGGTTAAATGTATTTTCCCCTCACAAATTATTAACTTGTGATAATCTCTACCCCGTTACTATATTCTGTGAATACATTGTCCTGTGATTGATTTTTTTTAATGACCTCGAAATAATGTAATGTTGTTTATGTAGTTTCTTATGTATGCTTATACACTTATGTTATTATATGTTATGTAATGCTTTATTCATAAACAGCACACCCCTCGTTGAATGAATAACTGGCTGTTAAGTGTTGTCATTCTTCAGACACACCAGTGTCAATGGAGAGAGTCCCTATCTATTAAAAATATACATTCTCTCTTTCTCACACACACACACATACATATGCAAGCATAGAGAGAGAGATTTGAAAAGACATTGCACAGACATGCTGTAGAGGGAGGAAGGCATTGTGAACATACATATGAGAGAAAAAAGGGACAATGCCTAGAAGTGTAGGGAAGATAGACAGCACATAAGAGAAAGAAATGAAACACATATTTATATTAGGGATCAATGTTTATCAGATTCAGAAACATATTCATCTGCCATAATCTCCAAAATCTTTACATATCGGTTTTATGACTTTGGCAGTGAGTTTATCCTTACAAAGAGAAATTGGACGTTCCAGCCCAGCTTCAGCTTCAAGCTTTTCCACGCCTGTTTTGAGTCGAAAATACCATCTCATGCATATTGATCCTCATAAACTTATGACTCAGCTGTCTCAAGAGCGCTTTTCCTAATTGTAAACATAACTAATATTGACCTTTAGCCTAATGCTGCATATATAACAACTGAACTTTCACTAGCCGAACAGAAGCAGGTTGCTTGTCATCTGCTGACCGGGCAGCGTTCAAGTTTTGTCCGATCATAGATTAATGATGCCTGTTTGGATGATATGCTTTATGATTTATGTTTTTGTTTTGGCCATAATAAAATCAGTCTTATTTTGTCATTGTAAAAATCAGTCTCATTGTTTGATTGTCAGACTGTGTGTGTGTATATATATATATAATCTTTCAGATTCTCTCACTTTTTGTCATGCAGATTACCTGCTTGTTTTGCACAGCTTTTTTGTTTGGCTCCACCCTTTTTAACATGCTATTCTTGCAGTCTGGTCAAGGTTGCAGATTTATTTACATTTTCCGTTGATTCATGTAGACTAATACATACACATACCTGCCATCTGATACTGTTAAGATACCAAACCAGCCATAGCTGTGTCTGCAAAGAAACGTTATAAATTGCATCATATTCATGCCATGACTGCTATCAGTACCAAACTTGGACTTATGTTGTTGTTTATACTACTTTTTTTTCATGTGAGAATAACTATCTTGCTTGTAATTGTAATTTATCTTTATCCGTGTGTGAGTTCCGTGGCCCTGTTATAGGGAAAACAAGAATAGACCCACTACCTACCCAGAAGCATGTCATAAGAGTCGACTGATTGGGAGCTTTCTTCAGAGTCGAAGTGCATCTACCTGAGGCAAGGAACCAAAAGTCTGCATACAAATTAGTCAGATCTTTCAAAAGGATGCACATGCAACACTCAGGTTCTGGAACAGGACTGCAGTCTAGAAGTGGACGAACAACCAGAACTTTCCGCCAGAGTTTACAGCTGGTGAATGCGAAGAAAAAATGGACATCAGCTGGTTTTTCTGAATTGTTGTGATGAATTGAAATGTGTGTGCTCTTCCTTTTAGCGTTCACCAGCTGTAATCTCCGGCAGAAAGTTCTGGTTGTTCATCCACTTTTGGACTTTGGTCTTGATCCAGAACCTGACTTTCGCAGGCAGACACGTTTTACAGAGCTGGCTTATTTGTATGCAGACTGTTGTTTCCTCACCTCCCAGGCTGATGCACTCCAACTTCGACTGAAAAACCCCTAATTAGTCTATCTTTACCTGCAAAATGGGGCTTCGGAACCCACATAGGAAGCGTGAATGCTCAGTTGTTGTAAGAAAAATATGGGATGTGTAGTGTTATATTGTTGCAAGAGTGTATGTAACATTAATTGTGAGAAAGTGGTGTGTGTATTATGTATTGTGGTGGAATGTGCAATGCAGAACTGTGAATGATTTACTACTTTGAAGAAGGAAAAAAAGTTTCGATCATGTTCAGCCAGCTTATAGCATTTGATTATCTCCTTCAGGAGAAAACAACTAACTATATGTTTTTTCTTGATGTTTCTAAAGATGGATATCATTCTTGCTGTCTGCAATCACAGTCAGATATTAACCATTTATATCTGAATTAGTAGTTTAACCACTTCTCTCTGTTGGAACGCCTTTAGACCTAAGTATTTATTACTTTTAAGCCCAACTCCTCATGATATAAGAAGTTTAAGTAACAATTGCTTGGGACTGAAAGATTTATAATTGTGATCTTTACATGGTTATCCTTCGTGATGGTGGCACAGCTTGAAGATTTGTTGGGTATTTCTGATGAATATCTTTAATTTGACTATTCTGCATAATAATGCTGTTGCCTTGACCACAAGTATGCGGCGTCCGTGGCTAAGGCGTTGCGAGTCCGACTCGTAAGCCAGCATACCGCGATCGAAACCCACTGCAGGCTGCGTGGATTTTTGTTGTGGTATGGAGACGTCGCAGGTCGACCCAGCCTAAAATGGGTACTAGGATGGGCTGTCCTGGGAAAGTAAAGACAGCCGGCGTAATGCTGACCACATTACCCACAGAGTGCTGATGGTCTGTAAAAATATGGGACGCTCTGCCCATATGCCCGATGCGCCCAAAGGCGTGAAAAGGGATCTTTACTTTACTTTTTACTTGACCACAAGTAGTCTGCTATGCAGGTCATGGCAATGACCAAAGCAATAACATGGCTGGAGACATAGACCTTTTCCCGCACATGCTTTCTCATTGACTCAATGAATATGCTCAGGAAGATAGAGAAAGGGCTGGATCTGAAGACAGTGGCTGGAGTCTCTAAAACGGTTGAGGCTAACATATATCAGTTTCATATTTGTGCCAGGGCACACAGGCGTGCAAGGAAATGAGCAAGCTGATAGGTTTGCAAATAAAGCTGCTGTGGAGGGCAGATGAGCCATGGACCATGCTGATATTTTGAAAGCTCTATGAGAAGACATCTTCAAGAACCAAGTGATGACTGTGAATCTGCAACAATGACCAGACTAAAAGAAAAACATATTAAAATGGGTGTGGCCAGACAAGAGTACTATGCAGGAAGCCAAAGAAGAATAAGAAACCAGAACTGGTGTCGTGAGCCATTACACGCTGCGGGGTTTACTAAAGAGGGGATCCAAGCACTTATGGACTGAATGGTTCGATGTGCAATGAGGATAATCTGTCGACTTAATATAACTTATGGTGTTTCTTGATGTCAGATTGGGAGCTTCTCTTTCATGTCCAGTGCAGCTGGCTATGACAGAACCCATGGTCAGTCATATAGGGTAATTTGGTTTCTCTCCCAATAAGGACTTCTCCACCAGAACACATTCTGTGGGGTACTGCCCCTCTTTGGGCATGCTCACTGCAACACTCACCATCTCGGGTGCCGATGAACTTTATTATGAGAGAGTGGAATTTTCAATATTGAGTCGAATTGAGAACCTGATATAATAGCATTTCAGACATTTCCATAAGCATCTCTGACCATTGGATGTTGAATTAAGAATCAACATCATAGCACTCAGGACACTCCCACAAGTGCTCCATCCACATCTTCAGCAGCAAGTGTAGAGTTCTAATTCCGATGGGACCAGTAACTGTCTGATTGTATATTCGTCTCGCCTTTTCCTCGAGTGTTGAGTGCTGGCCAGATCCCCAGATCACTCCTTGCAGCGTTATTCTCCTTAGGCCGTAATGATCTATCTGTGCCTCCACACTGTTCACTCGCTCCTAGAGGACCGTTACAACATCTAGCTTGTCATACATCAGTTCACCACCAAGTGGTGCAAAACCTTCCAGTCTCTCTGACTGATTATTTCTAAACACACCGGCATGACCTGGAGATAATATCCAAAGAATGCTAACTACCTGGAACCTCTGAAGTGATGCTTGCCACTCTGCATGGAGCATGCCTGACTCCACCTTTCTCAACATGCTTTGTGAGTCAGTTACAATCACAGCATGTGCGTACAGCCTATTCTCAAGTCAGCGGAAGGCAGCAGTGACTGCCTCCATCTCTATTCTCAAACTAGATGTTGTGATATCATATTCAAGGCTTTGTTGCACTAGGCGACATCCATTCAATTTTGCTATAAACCCCTGTCTGCCCTTCAACACAGAGCCATCTATATAGATAATCACCATTGACCATTGTGCCAATTTGCACAGCCAGCACAGAGTTCTAATTCCAGTGGTACCAGTAGCAGTCTGACTGTATGTCCCTCTTGCCTTTCCTCCAAGTGTTGAGAGTCTGCCAGATTGGTTCTTAACTCAACTTCTCAGGTACAACAAATAAAAAAACACATTTCTTCATGGAAATTAGTAATTATTTTATTACACTGGATATCTGCAAACAAAACATGGATAACATTGGTGGATAAATGATTTAACCTAGGAAATAACTTAGTTCTTCTGTCCAAGGCAAAACAATCATGGCCTCATTCTTTTATTCCAGACAGTCATGACTTAATTTTATATCTGAGACATTCACAACTTATTCTTTTAAAACAGTGATTCAACTTTTCAGTCCCAGACAATCAGTACTTCACTCCTCAATCCCAGTCAGCCACAATTTGATTCTTCATTCTAATCAAGACTTCATATCTTTTATCTCAGGCAATCATAACCTAATTTTTTTTCTGTCCCAATCTCAAGTCTTCTCTCTCATGTCCTTTGAAATTAAAGTGAGTGATCCTCAAGCACTAGGTTCGATATCTGCAGTTAACGAATACTCTTGCAGCTTTTGGACTAGTAGAGAGTCGCACTGTGGAAGAGACTGGGGCAGCAGTGGGTGCACTGTAACCCAATCTCTAATGTGGAGACAGCACTGAAGTGAACATCAATCCTATTCATGTGGTGTAGTGGGTATATAGTTGTAGAGACCATGTGTGGCACATACAATGTGATACTGACAACATCACCCCGTGAATGCTGGCTGATCTATATAAACATGGAACCATTTGTCAAAAACAATTAAAAGCATGGAAATAGGATCTTTTTTCTTTCTTTCAATTTTACCTTATTTTCAGTCACACTTCCAGTTAATAAAGGAAAGAACAACTGACTTTGAAAATCACTGCAGAAATGTTAAAACTTAATGGCACTGTTAAGATTAAACAATATTGACTTCAAGTTAAGTGTCAGGAAAGCACTGTCCTGCCCTCCATTGACAAGCATCTCTTGTATGATGGCTGTAATTGTGTAGATTTCAAAGAAGCGTTTGTTGGATCTGATAATGTGGAAAAAATAAGGTACACATAATGAAAACTTCCAATGATAATGTGAAAATCTATTTTATTACAAGAGAGGAAAAGGATAAAATCTGAAGCCATATACAGATATTGGGAGCTGAGGTGGTGTAGAAGTTAGACACTTACTTGTGGACTTGAAGGTTGTGGGTTCAGGTCCTGTAGGAGCCAGATTTGGAAAAAAAAATTTGACACTGGCTCACGGGTTGACTGACTGACTGACTACCCCACCAGGACATCACACAAGCGATAAACACCCGATGACACAAAGTGCCACCATGCGGATGAGGATCACCGTGGAGAGGTCCCAGAAACCGCGTTCAGACAATTGGCCATATTGATGGCCTGCCTATATTGCGGCCCCTGGCAAAAGCCAGAGTGGGGCTTCAAATAACAAAAAATTACGTCCTAAGAAGGACGTAAAGAATAACTGCACGGGTTGACTCAGCCTTGAGTGGTTACCAGGTATACTCCTGGGAAGTAAAAGTGGTCGGCACGATGTCGACATCACCACCAAGAGAGGGCCGACTGGTCTATAAGACATAGTTCTAGCAGTATATGCCCAATATACCACAGGGCGTAGAAAAATGTCTTTTACTTTATTGTATAGATAATATGAAAATCAAATGCACAGAAACCTAATACAATTTTCTACAAACTTCAACGTTTGTAATAAGTGATTACTTCCCTTAATGTAAAAAAAAAAAAAAATCACCTCTGTGCGAGAAAGAGATCAGCTTCTTTAGTGACTCGATGGCTGGGAGGTCGTGGTGGCCATCATGTCTGCTTGGTAATCAAAGGTATCTACCTCCTTGATGTTTATTTTTTTTTTTTAAAACTGACTCCGAATTTCTTCTGCTTCTTTTATTCCTCTAGTTTCTGAGGGCAGAGTTTCTTTGCAACAAAATATGGAAACTTAGATATTTTTTTTAAATTGTAATGGTGGCAAAAGGATTCAGACCATGACTAACAAATGTTTGCCAGCTGGCCTTATACTCTCTCCACCACCTGCCTCCCTGGTTTTACATTACCTGGACAGAGGGTCTAAACAGGTACTTCATCTTGCCCAAGATTGTCCCATAGTTTTGCAGGCAGAAAAGGGCCTTGTATTTCTATTTTGAAAGAGATACCCCCCCCCCCCCCCCCCCCCCCCCCCCCAAAATAACTAAAAATTATTATTTAAATTTCAAGACAAACATTCTGCAAATACTTCTTTCAAACATTTAAGCAATTTTACAACTTTTACACACAATATTATCTTTTTCGGTACCAGATTGTTAAGCAGCAGATTTTAAATAAGGAAAAAAAAAGTCAGGCTAAAAAAAAAATAAATGAAACTACAGCTTTCAAAGGGACTAAATACACAGCAGAGGTGGCCAGTGTATGCCAGATTGAATTAATATGTTAAGCCAAATCTGTGGTTTTTTTTTCGTAATAAAGGCAGAAGAGTTTATGCTAAAATCGATATTCAAACAGCACAAATCATATGTTACTTGGAAATAAAAGGAGCTTGGAGCTACCTTTATTTCCCAGAACAATTTCTGGTACCCATTTGAAACTGACCATTGAAATAAAAAAAAAAGTCAAGGCATCAAGGCAAAATTTGGCAAACATTTTTGAAAACGTTTGAAACGCACACACACAAAACAAAAAAACATCCCCTGACTTACTTTATCTTAGACAGCTTCTGTAAGATGATGCTGAGTCTTTCCATAACCCGCACATCTGGGACAGGACTTCGTATCAACAAGGCAGCAACACGAAAGAAGCTTTCATTGCTGCAACTTTCCAAGAAAGCATGTTGAAACGGGGACTCCGCAGACATCTGAAGCATTATATCTACCGCTACAGAGACAAAAGTCTGGAGAAGGGGAAAAGTACATAGTAAACATTAAATATAACAGACTATTAGCTGCTTCATTTCCTCTTAGTTTTCTTCTTCTTTGCATTCACCAGCAGTAAACTGGTGAAAAGTTCTGGTTGTTCGTCCACATCTGGACTGCAGTCCTGTTCCAGATCCTGAGTGTTGTGTGTGCATCAGTTTGACAGATATGACACATTTGTGTGCAGACTGTTGGTTCCTTGCCTCTCAGGCAGATGCACTCCGACTTCGAAGGAAGCTCCTAATTAGTAGACTCTTACGACATGCTTTTGGGTAGGCAGTGGGTCTATTCTTGTTTTTCCCTATAATAGGACCCCGGAACCCACACTGGGGCCTCTTAGTTTTCTTTTGTATGTCAACTTTAAGATTCCTTGTGCAATAATTTCTTCTCAGCTCTCTGTTTTCTCTCTGTTAAGAGTTCTTTGCTAGTTTGATACATAATTTTCACTAATTTCGATTGGTAATTTATGATTTGTATTTTAGGTACTCCACTTTATCTGTTTCTCACTATTTTCTTTACATCTTTCTTAAATTTCTTAATCTGACCTTAATCTGCTAAGTGTAACTTCTATTTGTCTCGTTTTCCCAACCAGCGCTTAGTATTGTCTTCACATTCACCAATGTAATTCTAAAACACCAATGGATCTGTATGTTGGTGAAGTAGCTAAACACTTGCCTGCTGGCTCAAAGGATTTTAATCTGCAACATCCTGTGTGGGTCTATGGGCCTCATTTTGGGGGGAAAAAGAACTGTGCCCCCTGCCCCCCAACACACATGTTATAAAAGAGTTTTTTTTCAAAGTCGGAATGCATCTTAACAAAGAGACTTTTCTACTAGAGTTTATATATGGTGAGAGCTAAGAAGAAAAAGAATCTGCATGAAGGCAGGTTTTTTTTTTGTATCTGACTTGGTTTCTTATGTCAATTCATTCAAAGCGGCTTATTAAACAAGTACTGAAATGATAAATAAATGGATTGAAGATGCAGGGATGTCCATGGATAACCCCTTGAAGAACATTCAGGGAAAAAATCAGAGGTTCTCCCCTCATCCCTCCCCCTCTTGTTGTAACCCATCAAGACAAGCGAACAACAACCTGTGACACAAAGTGCCAACATGCGGATGAGGATCACCTGTGGAGAGATCCCAGAAACTCCTTTCAGTCATTAGGCCATATTTATGGCTCAGCTATATTCAGGACCCCCGGCAAAAGCCATGGTGGGGCTTCAAATAACGAACAATTGCATCCCACATAGGGACGACTTATTATAATAAAATCAAAGGTTTCAAAACTAAGACTTTATAAATATTTTAAAAACTGCAAAGAAAAGATTGGGATGGAGAAAGTGAATACCAGTCTTTTGTGATGTATTACTCCACAACAGCATAATGAATGGGTGTTGTGAATTTGATAGTGAATTATGAACCAAAAAAACTACCAAGTATAAAATTACCTTGTTGGCTGGTTTTATGTAAAAAGTTATCACATTGGTTGCTTGGTAATAAAGAAACAATTCCTTCTGTTGATCAGATTTTAGTTCTGTCTTTAGAACATCAAAAGCATTGGCCAGAACATCAGCTGTGGTTAGAATTGAAGTTTATGTGAAGAAAAAAACAGGAATGACATAATACGGAAATTATAACTGCACTAGAAGAACAAATTAGAGCATAGAACAACCTGGTTTAGCCAGTTAAAATGTGTTCTTTAGTAACAATTAAATTATATTAAATCGACCCAGCTGAATGTAAGAATCCATTAGGCCTTTCACCCTGCAAAAAATTTACAAAACGCAGGAAGCCAAATCATTCGCACCCCCACCCCCAAACAAAAAAATCCAATAAAAAAAAAAACAACCCCACAACAATGAGTTAACACAGGTCTACTAGCGCACAAAATCAGCCATCTTTCTCTGTCTTCCACTTGTTGTACAAGTGTATAATAATTCAGTCCTGTCCATTACTTGATGTCATTCCTGGTTCTTCTTTGCCTCTTTTCTTCGACTACCCCACCAATGTTCCTTGAAGTACAGTTTTTGCAATCAAACATTGTTACACCATGTGCCTAAACTAGCTTGCGACGTTTCACAGTTGCCAAAAGAGATTCCTGATGTAAGCAGATAACTGAGGTATGAATTTACACTGAGATGTGAGAAAGAGGAACTGTGGAATGATATAATTAACAACTTGTACAAGTCTCTGAATATGATGATGATAATAAAATACATCCACAACATTGTGCATCATAAAACTGAGCAGTGAAATGAGAAAGATAGTGCGTATTCTTTACAGGACTTTGCAGAACCAAGCCCAGCATTTGTTGGCGGTTTTGGTTTTTCTAGCCAAATTTTACATTTAGTAGTTTGCCATGGCTTACCGAATGGTTAACTCTCAGTACCCATGTTGAAACCAACGCAAGATGTTCTGCAGGGATCAAACCCGGCACCCCGGCATTACCAAGCCAGTTCGCAATGCCTAAGCCACAGAAGCCGACCATAATGAGAAAGAAGAACTGTAAAATATGTACCTCTTGTTAGTGTTTTTAAGACAATTAGTGCTGACAGGAACCGCACATGACTGTTGGAACTTCTCATAAACTGAGCCTCCTTGAGTTTGTCGCCCAGCGTTGTTGGAGAGCCAATAATTTTCTCAGCTTCTGTGACCTTTGAAGATTTCGGGTAGTAAATTTCCTCCCCGATTCGTCTTAGTGTAGTGGACATGCTGATATTCTATTTAAAAAATGTAAGATGTAAATAAAATGATGGAAATATAAATACTTTGCCACTTTTAAATGTCCCGGTCACTTAGTTTTAAAAAACCATGGAAATGAAAGCAAAGCCCAATGCAGAGTAGAAAAAACCCCCCAATAAACTTCAACAATGAAGATACAAACAAAACAATAGAAAATTGATTGGCTGACAATAATTAAATGAATTTAATGAAGCCAATAAATGAATCCTTCTTCTAACTGAAATGCAAAATCAACTACAAACAAAAGTAACAGTTATTTTCAGTGACTTTTAGTGCAGCTGATTTAGAATTTCAGTTACAGTGTTTATGTTTATTCAAGGGATCAACATCATGGCACACGGGTGTAATCCATAAGTGCTCCATTCTACCTGTATCCTCTTATGTTAACTTGTCAATATGGGAGCATTTATGTTAACTTAAATCATTGTATGCAGTGACCTCCGTTACCTGGAGCTTACCCCACCTAGGGCCTGGGCAACCATCTTGAAGCGTGGCTTCCATTTGGAGCGTGACCCGTCCACTTGGATCGTGACATATTCATGGCATTGTGGTGCTGGGGTGTCTTGGCCGGTCTGGGAGAGAAGTAGTTCTCAGGCTTATTAATAAAACTTGGAGGTCAAGCAAACTTCCAAGGGCATGGAGGAATGCATATATCGTCCCCATCCTTAAAACCAAAAGCCTCCAGATGACCCCAAAAGCTACCGCCCGATATCCTTAACATCATGCTTGGGCAAAGTTGCAGAAAGAATGATAAACAGGCGCTTATATTGGTTCCTTGAGAGTTCTGGTGTTCTATGCCATGAACAGGCAGGCTTCAGAACCAACAGCTGCACAGAAGACCAGCTGTTCAGACTGACACAAAGAATACATGATGGCTTCCAGAATAAGAAACACACAGTGGCAGTCTTTGTCGACCTTCAGCAGGCCTATGACAGAGTATGGAGAAAAGGTCTCCTGATGAAGATGATGAGCATAGGAATACATGGCAGATTGTATAACTGGGTGAAATACTTCCTGATAGATAGAACAATCCAGACTAAGATGCACAACGCAATCTCTTCTAAAGAAGTCTTGGAGGAGGGCTTGCCACAAGGCTCATCATTGAGCTGTACACTATTCCTAATCTTTATCAATGACCTGCCAGAACAAATCAAGGCTGAAAAAGCCTTGTACGCTGATGACCTAGCAATATGGCAGAGTCATGAAAATGTGGAAAGTGGAGCCCAAAGACTGAATGGAGACCTTAGAAGACTGCATGATTACTGCCAAAGATGGAAACTCAAGATTAACTGTGCAAAGACGGTCTACACAATCTTTACCAAAAGCCACCAAGTAGCAAGGAAGAATATTAACCTGAGGTTAGACAAACACCAAGTGATGAAAGAAGAGCATCCCACATACCTTGGAGTCACACTTGACCCGCAGCTCAGCCTCAAGAACCATATTGAAAACATCAGGAATAGAGGCATTGAGGCGGTTACAGTTATTAAAGAGACTTGCAGGTACATCATGGGGATCAGACAAGGAAACTCTGAGGGGCTTATACCTAGGATATGTTCGCTCTGTGATAGAGTACAACAACTCACTGCTTACAACTTGTTCCAAAACTAACCTAGAGACTCTTGACAGAGTACAAAATAATGCCCTCCGATTAATCTGCGGAGCTATGCAGTCTACACCAACTGCTGCATGTGAAATCCATACAAATGTGGAACCCCTCGGGTTGCGGAGAGAAAAAGCCACTTTAGAAATTTATGAAAGATGCGTTAGGAAAAATCGTAACCATCCTAATAGACATCTTGTAGAAAACTGGGAATCCAAACAAAGAATAAAGCACAAATCGGTTTTACACTGTGTTAATGAAATTCAGGACAGATACCACCTCCCAGAAAGACGTCAAGGAATTCAGAATGTTGCAAAAAACCTACCACCACATGCTCGCTTTAAAGCTCCAGAAGTCCAAACTAAATTGGTAGGCGAGGAAACCAAACAGTCCGACCCAATCGCTCTTATGAACTCATCACTAAAGACCGTTGATTCTTACCCCCAAGAATGGATACATGTCTATACTGATGGATCAGCATTTAAAGCTACCATTAAAGCAGGTTACGGAATCTACATAGGTTATCCCGATGGATCTGTTGAAGAGATTTTTGATGCATGCGGGGAATTCTGTTCAAACTATGAAGCTGAAATAATTGCACTGGAAAACAGCCGTATACCACCTAAAGACTGTAATGGATGTTTACCCCTCAAAGGTCCAAAATATTGTCATCTTCACAGATTCAATGTCTGCCCTTCAAGCTCTGGAGGGCAATGAACGCTGCAGAACTGACATAGCCAAGATAATCCTGGATGCCGATCAGCTTATTACCTCATACAACATCAGAATAGTGATGCAGTGGATTCCAGGTCACTCCGGCACACCAGGTAATGACAGAGCTGACAGATTGGCAAAGAAAGGAGCAACACAAGAACAACCACCTACAGCGACAACCCTCCAGACAGCAAAAACACTGATAAGAGCTATAAACAAAGAGACTTGGTTGAACAGATGGGCCATGGGAGACACTGGAAGAGAGGTTTATAGACATATGTCTGGCCCTGATCCTAATGACAGCATTAACCATCTAACAAGAAGGGACCAGGCCACCCATCTTCAGACTTAGAACGCAACATACTCCACTCAATGGACACCTAAACAGAATACAGCCACAACACTCCCCAGAGTGCCAGCTATGTAACTACCCCTACGAAACTGTTGAACACCATCTCTTTGAGTGCCCAAAACTCAGTGAGACAAGAAGAACGCTACTCCCTCCGAGACCAGACAAGTGGAACACCTTGTACGGAGGAAAAGAACAGCTTGTGAAAACATGCAAATTCCACTACATGGCATTGGGCCAAAGGGCGAAAGCTCATGCGCCGCTGGATCGATAACAACAACAACAACTTGGATCGTGGCCCCCATTTGGAGCGTGACCCGCCCACTTTGAGCGTGGCCCCCATTTGGAGCATGACCCGCTCACTTTGAGTGTGGCCCCCATTTGGAGCGTGACCCGTCCACCTTAGGTCGGGCCCCCTACCTGGAGCTGATCTTGCTTTGCTGTGCCTGCCAGACTTACCTATATTGAGGTATAAAGCTGTCACATGCCTGAGTCTGAAGAATCTCAGCGCAGTGCACGAACTCCATTGCACAGGTGAGGATCCTAAAATGGTTTGGTAGATTTTTAACTCAAAATTTTGCCCGGACAGCGCCGTTAAGCTAATATTTTTTTTATTTCAAACTGCCAAAGGATTTTTTTTACATGTGCAAGATTACACACAGTCGTCTGATCTTCCTACCCAGAGACTAGGGGAAATTACTAGAAGCCCACATGAAAAAATCCCAGGACCTCCAGCACTCGAGGCGGACACCATCCCTTGAGACCACTCAGCCCCCCCCCCCCCCCCCCCTCCAAGTTACAAGGATTCATTTATTGGCCCCATTATATTTAATTTTTTTTTTCTTTCTAGCATGCACCTGGCAAGATACAGTGAAATATGACAGGTCATAAATTGTACAATCTATTGTTCGTGTCTGCTTTTTTCACATTTATTCACAATGGGGAAACACTGCTGCAAATAAATATACTCTTGACAGTGCAGTAAGCTCAAAATAAGGGAAAAAAGCAAGGAAAGTATTTCAAAAAAGGAAGTGATTGCTGTCTAGATAATGCAAAAAGGAAATGAGCTGGCAACAGAGCTCTAGTGCAATGATTTATCCACTTCTTTCATACAGATCAGTATGGGATTATAAAACTAATTCCTTTCACACAGATTATTATGGGATTATAAAACTAATTCCTTTCTTATAAATTATTATGAGATTATAAAACTAACCCCATTCATGCAGATTATTATGGGACTAGAAAATCATACACAAGTAAGTGAATCAAAGAACCTTTCTATGTCAAAACTGGGTGTGGCATCTAATGACAGACTAATGTTTTTAAAGACCACCTGGTCTTTGCTTGGTGATCTGGTCATCACTTAAGTTTTTAAGGACCATTTGGCATTTGCAAGGTGATTTGGTCAACACTCATGTTTTTAAGGACCATCTGGCATTTGCTTGGTGATTTAGTCACCACTCATGTTTTTAAGGACCATCTGGCATTTGCTTCGTGATTTGGTCACCACTCATGTTTTTAAGGACCATCTGGCATTAGTGTGGTGATCTAGTCACCACTCATGTTTTTAAGGACCATTTGGCATTTGTGTGGTGATCTGGTCACCATTGAAGTTTTTAAAGACCATCTGGCATTTGTGTGGTGATTTGGTCACCATTTGAGTTTTGAGGGACCATCTGGCATTTGCTTGGTGATTTGGTCACCATTTTGCTGACCAACTGTACTTTCAAAGGCTTTTTTAGGCACCCATTTTAAGCTGGCTTGACCCTGGAGCCAGGGATCATAATAAATGTCTCACAAATTCTTTTCCATTCTCATCCCCTGGTAAAGGTTATGAGCTGTCAAGTCACAACAATGAGGAACATTTGCACAATGTATTTTTGATTCTGTGGCAAATTTGGTAGCAAATGCACTGGTCAGATATGGAAGAAAACTGGTAACAGAAATGACTAACAGTACTCGAAACGGAAGGTTGTGGACAGATATGGCTACCAACTTTACATTGATTTTCTGCTGTAGATATGTCCTGTGTGGAGTCTAATAACGGTGCTTAGCTGTCCTATGTCAAGTATTAGAATGCAATCATGTGGGTAATTATTGTTATCTTCCTCTTCTTCTTCGCATTCACCAGCTGTAAACTCTGGCAGAAAGTTCTGGTTGTTCATCCACTTCTAGACTGCAGTCCTGTTCCAGAATCTGAGTGTTGCGTGTGCATCCATTTTACAGATCTGACTCATTTGTATGCAGACTGCTGGTTCCTTGCCTCTCATTCAGATGCACTCCGACTTTGAAGGAAGCTCCCAATTAGTTAACTTTTACGACATACTTTTGGGTAGGCAGTGGGTCTATTCTTGTTTTCCCTATAATAGGGCCCAGGAACCCATACAAGGAATTTTTATTATCAATTCTGTAATTACTGTTATCCATTCTCTGGCTCCATGTACTGTTGTACTTTCTCTTCACAGAATGATTTAATGATCCAAGCTTCTTCTGGTGAGGCCTGTGGCTAAACTAGGCCTGCTGGGCGCAGGCTGGCACCATGAAATCAAGGAACATCTGTGTCACAAATGACTGAGTCATCATTATCAAGTGCCTTGTCAATCAGTGTAGGCAGTCAAGTTTCGTCATCTCACACTAGAATCAAGGATCAAGTCAGTGCTATTGTGTTGCCCCATCCATATGGCCAAGCCAAGCCATCCAGACATTTACCTGTTGGCCTTCTCCTAGCTCTTTACCCACTAAATTTGCCAGCTGTAACCAAGTTCTTAGGTTCATTTGTTCTCATAACATGTTCAAAATTACTGACCTACTGACAGTGCATAAGACACAAAGGCAATGAATAGCCCTGCCTTACAGCATACACAAAAATCAGAACAAGAAGTGGAAGAAAATATACCTGTTGATTCTGTAGCTGATCTATGTGCAGCAGTGACCAGTAAATAAACTGTAGACAGGGAAGACAGCAACGAATGTTCCCAGCATTGTCTCGGAGAATTTCAACTAGTGATGGTAGAACCTAATGGATATTACAACAATAACCAAATTAACATATGGTTACAAAGACTCCCTGTGTGGATTCTGGGAGTGGGGGACAGAAGAGACCAACAGTTTCCTCAATAAACATGTCACACAGGGTGATCTAATTAGAGCAGTGATTCTCAACCTTGCTAATGCCGTGACCCTTTATTACAGTTTCTCGTGTTGTGGTGACCCCCAACCATAAAATTATTTTTACTGCTACTTCATAACTTCAGTGAATGTGTTTTTCCGACAGTCTTAGGCGACCCCTGTGAAATGGTCATTGAACCTCCAAAGAGATCGCAACCCACAGGTTGAGAACTGCTGATTTAGGCCTTTGCTGAAATCAGACGAGCTGGGCAGTTAGATGTAGAAGACAATTACAAAGGATCTGCGATTGCACAATTTTAAATGTAGAAACAAATGTACAGTTTATTCATTCATACTACAGTTTAAAATAAATAAATGTCAGATATTCATTGGATTATGAGTGGGTTTTTTTCAATCCATATAAAAAATAACTGGCCGATATTATGCTGCTGGTGTGTCAAACAGGACTCTTACCACATCTAATAAGCAGAAACTCAAAGCAAATGAGAGGAGATGAGCTGTCAAAAAAAAAACATGAAGAAATTAGATTAGAAGAAGATTCAAGATTTCTGTCCTAGATAAAGGCAGGTAGGTGCATTACAACAGAGTTTGCATCAACATAAAATACATGACAAAGCATGAATCTTTTTAACTGAAATGCACAAACCACATTATCTCTTGTTACTATGTACATCTTACCAAAGGAAGTCTAAGCTTAACAACATGATCACTCTGTGGAAGTATAGGATGAAACATGAAATCGTCACCTTCAGAACTCTGTCCTGAATGAAAGAGGGTGTGCTGTAACTCTCTGAAGGTTTTGTGGGTATTTCTACCAGTGCTTGCCTCAGAAAAGCCTCACAAACCCAGTCCAACAGAGTTGACAATGCTGTAGAGTACAGCTGGACTGTGCTCTGCTGAAATAACAAACAAATGGAACACAAAAGGAACTATTACTGTCATCATTATCATCATTATCATCATTGTCATCATTGTCATCATTATCATCATTGTCATCATTGTCATCGTGTAGCAGGTTATTTTGTAGAGCATCAACACCCTCACAAGGCACTGAGATGAGTTACAATTATATAGTGACAGATTTTGGGTACCTCTGCTAGTTGCCTCATGCATTTAATGCATGTTCAAGCTGTTGGATTTTGCCAGAACTACTGCCAGTTTGGAGCAACTATGGGGTGACCCGTGAAGTTGGAACCTCAACTGATAACCTGATAATAGCTACTAATAGAACTTTTGGTCCTTCACCAATTCTTCTGACATGACTTTTTATGCTCAAAATGTCTCTAAGATCTTGTGTGCTGGTCACTTCCAGCTTCTTCTCCCATGGACCAAGGTATCTTTGACACGGAGATTACAGAAACCAAGTGTAGCCACTCTGATGACAGAGTCTGTAAGTCTCTTGGGAACTGCCTGATCTATCTATTGGGCTCCAACTTGTTCAAGAACCTTGACATCTCACAGTTTTATCTAACATATCAGAGTTAAGGCCCTTGCCTTTCATTCTTTTCTAGCTAGTTTTCATTTCTATTCACATGCATGTCAGAGATTCCAGTGGCCAAAGAAACATTTTGATTTCTCCCAGAAATAAGTCAGTTAAGTGATTTTTGTGTATTCTTGTTTGTATGTGTGGCACTGCCTATTCATGTAATGTGCTGATAAAGGCTCTCTAGCCACAACATTCACTTGTTGAATCAAAGAACCTTTCTATGTCAAAACTGGGTGTGGCATCTAATGACAGACTAATGTTTTTAAAGACCACCTGGCCTTTGCTTGGTGATCTGGTCATCACTTAAGTTTTTAAGGACCATTTGGCATTTGCAAGGTGATTTGGTCAACACTCATGTTTTTAAGGACCATCTGGCATTTGCTTGGTGATTTGGTCCCCATTCATGTTTTTAAGGACCATCTGGCATTTGCTTCGTGATTTGGTCACCACTCATGTTTTTAAGGACCATTTGGCATTAGTGTGGTGATCTAGTCATTTTGTGTATTCTTGTTTGTATGTGTGGCACTGCCTATTCATGTAATGTGCTGATGAAGGCTCTATAGCCAAAACATTCACTTGTTGTTTGTGACAATGTAAAGCTGAGTAGCTCTACTTTTAGCTGGGTTTGGTATGTGCCCAAGAACCATAGTTTTTATCAAATACTGAAATAGTTCACTTTTTTCTTTTTCTTTTCTGTTCACTTTTTAAAATGTCTTTCAATTGTTTTTTAATTTCCTCTCCATAGAACTTCTCATCTGCTTTATAAAAGAGAGTGTGTGTGTAAATTCACACACACACACATATGTATATATACATACATTATGTATTTATGTATGTATGTATATATATATATATATATATATATATATATATATATATATATATATATATATATATATATATATATATATATATATATATTATATATATATATATTATATATATATATATATATATATATATATATATATATATATATATATATATATATATAGATATATATATATATTATATATATATATATATATATATATATATATATATTATATATATATATATGTATATATATATATATATATATGTATATATGTATATATGTATATATATATATATATATATATTATATATATATATATATATATATATATATATATATATATATATATATATAATATAAATATAAATATATATATATATATATATATATATATATATATATATATATATATATATATATATATATATATATATATATATATAAAACAGATTTATAGATATACATACATATGTGGGTGTGTGTCAATTCTCCCCATTACATATTCACCCTAGGATCTCTATTTCTCCTTTTTACCAGTGCACAACAGATTCCATACTCCAGCAGTCATTTCCTGTGTATCAGCAATGGCTGCGCTTTTGTTCAAAATATAGCTGCTTATTACAGAGAGAAAAACTGTCTTTGCTGCCTCTCTCTATATTCTTGTAGTGGTTTAAGAGAAGGGTCTTGAGTCTGGGGACTTGAACCTGCATAGCTAGTGTAACTGCCACAAGCTGTACAGGTTAAGACCCCCACCGCCCCTCTCATCACCTCACTAAAGATTCTTCTTCTTAGCGTTCACTGGCTGTTAACCACCAGCAGAAATTTATGCTTGTTCGTCCACTTCTGGACTTTTGTCTTGTTCCAGAACTTGAGTTTTGTAGGTACATCTGTAAAACAGATCAGGCTCATTTGTATGCAGACTGTCATTTCCTTGCCTTTCAGGCAGATGCACTCCAAGGAAACCCTAAATCAGCCAGTCACCTTTTAACGTGAATTCAAACCATATCTCCCAAATGAAAGCAGCAAATTAGTACTTAGCCAGTAGTTTTTTCAGTTTATTAATTTGTTACAAATATATCTTGCATTGCATAATTGATATATGGACAAACATTTTAAGGGGCCACGTTAGCTCAGTCGACAGGAGACTCGCTTTCAAATCCAGCTGTGACTCGCTGCAGCCCATGGCTGGTGTTTGAAATCGGGCGGTTCCCTGGGTTCACCGGTTCCCTGGGTTCACACAGCCTCTAGGTAATGGGTACCAGAGCTAACACTCTGTGGTAAATGGAAGAACGTTACTGTAGCTAGGGAGTTGCATATGGACGGCGACACAGACGGACAGTTTATTATCAGCTCTCCATACTGGTAGCTGAGCACTTATGGTTTATAACCGTGTGCAATGACGCTGGTTCACATCTTCCGACTTTAGCTTTACACAAACATTTGACTAGGAAGCTTGACAAACAATTGATGTACAATACCAACTGTTTTCACCAAGGTGTTATTTACAAATATAAAAACATGAAACAATAATCCTTAGCAGAGAATATATGAAACTGAAAAAAAAAGTCATTCTTCTTATCTTCCTCCAGTTAACTCACTAAATTGTCTTAAGAAGGCATTACCACAGCAGAAGTAAATAAATGTGGCTAGACACATGCGTCACAAATACCTTGTTAAACTTCGTGGACTTCTGTGACCTTTCTTCTGGCTTGTCCGGGGGTTTGGAAGACAATGCCACATCTTTCTGCACTTGCTCTGAACTAGACTCTACCTGCTGTTTAAGTACTTCTGAATCTTTCAGTTTCTGCTCATATTCTTGTTTACGCTGTCAAAAGAAGTTTACAATCCCATAAGTATTTCATTAACTTGTTAGTCGTCAAGAAATTTGTGATGTGTGATTGAATCTTTCTCACTAATTCCAGGCATCATTTAATGTGTTCTCTTTAACATTTATTATTTTTGTCAGAGCAGCTAAAGAAATCTGGCCTCTTCAGTAGCTACATGGACTGTCCAATTAGCTTCTTTAAAAGTGATACACTACTGATTCTTCTTAGTGGTTATTACTGGATGAGGGTGTCCTCCGTCGTAAAGGGGTCAAGCCACTGACCTCCTTTCTAAAGGTCACTGGTTTGTTTCACAACTACATCGCTCATTTCATAAGTGCAATTTTTTTCTACAGAAATGTCAGAAGATACAGAGTTCCTGTTGTGTGTAATGCTCTCTGTAGGCTACTAGTCACTCTATGGAGAAAAACAGAGCAATATGGGTTGAAACTGTGCAACAAAGTTGATCCTCTTGATTTTAACACTAATGATTCTTTTGATTTTAACTTTAACGGTAGTTAATATCCCTACCTGGTTGTGAAATCTTTTCAGTACTGAAAGAGTTAACAAACAATTTTACTTTCAGGCAATAATATTATGCCGGATGCTTCAGTGGTAAAACTGAAAACTTTTCTTTTGCCTGTTATGCCGCAATGAAGCAAAGGTACTTAACCAACTCACGCAAAATCATCCTATTTTTCGCTATTGCATGAAGAGAACCCCATATTCTCCTCATCCTGTCGCTCACTCTTAAATTTCCTTCTCCATGTGCTTGTGTGTGTGTAGGTCTGTCTTTATTCCACTGCCCCTGTGGGTTCTAGTCATACTAAAAACTCCTCCCCATTGTCACTATTTCTGTATAGCTCGATAGAGAAGAGGCAGTAGATGTCTCTAAGGAGGTAGAGGCAGTCACTGCGGCCTTCTATTTGCTTGAGAAACAGCTGCACACACATGTTGTGGTTGTGTGACTCACACAGCATGTTGAAAAAAGTGGAGACCGGTATGCTTTGTGCAGAGTGGCAAGCATCTCTTCATAAGTCTAGGGTAGTTAGCATTCTTTGGATATTTTCGTCAGGGTATGCGCGTGTGTCGGGAAATGAACAACCAGAGAAACTGGCTGGCTTTGCACCATTTATCTGTAAACTGATGAACGACAAGTTTAATGTTGTCAAGGCTCTTTGGTGGGAGGTGGGGGCGGAATGAACAGTGCGGAGGTACACTTAGATTATCTTCTTCTTCTTCACATCCTTTTTTTTTTAACCTCTTCAGGTGTTGAGGGAGATATCAGGTCCTGCTTTTTTTTTCTTCTAACCAACCTGCCACAGAAATCAAAACCTGGTACATTAGATTGTGAAAAGCATTCCGCTGTTCATCTATCACAAGTAATGATGATGACCAGTCTTGTCATCTGCTAAGCAGTGTGGGATTTATGGCTATGTAAGTGACCGATAAAACCAAACTTGGCACAAAATGTTATATCTTTTAAGGCAGTGAGGGCATGAGATTTGGACCACACGGGTTGGCATTTCAGTTTCCAATAATGAAGATCAATGCCAAACGCATCCATTGACCACTGAGCTGAATAATTAATGATAAGACACAACCACATATTTTGCATAATGATTATACCTGTAAGTTTGCCAACCTCGCTTGCAGGCCATTGGATACCTTTGTTAGCTTGGAATTCTGGACTTGAAGCACTTCAGTCTGATTGAACAGACAGTAAATATTTTTAAATCAGTAAGGTAAAGGTAAAGTCGGGAGATGTGAACCAACGTCAATGCACACGGTTATAAACCATAAGTGCTCTGCCACCAGCACGGAGAGCTGATAAGAAACTGTCCGCCTGTGTCGCCTTCTACACGAAACTCTGTAGCTACAGCGACGTTCCCCCATCTACTTCAGTGTTAACTCTGGTACCCATTTCCTAGAGGCTGAGTAAACCCCGGGAACTGCCCGGTTTCAAACACCAGACATGGGCTGCAGCGAGTCGCAACTGGATTTGAAAAGGAGTCTCCTATAAACTGCGCTAAAGCAGCCCCCAAATCAGTAAGGAGGCAGTATATAATGTACTGGTTTTCAAAATTGTTCCGTTTTTCGGCCAGAATTTCTTCAGATTTTGCTTTCACTCTGTTAAGCAGTATCTTTAGCATTATTTTGCTTGCGTGGGTGATAAGATTAATAGTTTTAATTGTTTCAGCTTTTTAAACTTCCTTTCTTTGGCAAAGATGTCACCAACGATTGTGTCCATTTAGTAGGTCACTTCTTTGTGACCCAAAATCTTGGGCACACCTCTGTCATCACCTTAGTTACGTGTTCTCCTCCATATATCCAAAGTTCAGCTGGGACATTATCCACACCTGGTGATTTCCCATTTTTGAAGTTTTAACCATTGGGTTCTTGCCCTGATTATCCAACATACATTTCAGTGAGCAAACAGTTTGCTTGGTGGTGCCCATCTCATCTCCAAGCATCTGAATCTGTTTCTATATATTTATACTCTCTTCATGTTCTTTCAAGGATATGTCGTGTTTACGCCTTGCAGCCACATAAAATAAGAGAACACACTTAAGTAGGTCACCAAACTTGCTTGCCAGTGTTCCTTGATAAAACACAATCCTGCATGAAAAACACTGTCACTCCATGAACTTAAACACACCAGTCCATGAATGAATACTGATTGGCGACTAAGCCAAGTGATGAATGTCAGTCTGTACTATGACCAAGTATTCCTTTAGCAACATATGGATTGGAATTGTGCAATTTCTCGCAGTCTTAAGGAAGAAAATGAGAGTTTGAGCTGAAATACTATAGATAATTCTCAGAATATCATCAGCCAAGAAACAAATAAATACTCTAATTTTAAAAGATCTGAACATCAAAGAAGTAAATAGCATCTTGTCTTGGAAAGTGAAATATTTTGGCCATACTGAGGACTTTGACAGACTGGAACGAATAATAGCAGCAAGCATGGTAGCAGAAAAGAGGGGCAGGGGCCGACTAGAACGAAGATGGGCACGTTGACACCTCGGGTAGAATATTGCATGAAGCGCGAGAGCTGAAGAGAGACCGAGATTATTTTGTTTAGACTGTGCAAATGTTCTGCAAATGACCTGCTACATATTGATGACAATGACCAAACTACAACAACAGCAAGTTGAATGGGATGGGATCTGTGCATTTATGGACTGAATGGTTCAGTATACAAAGAGGATGATCTATCAACTGACAAACTAGGTACCTCTTTCTTCAGAACATCATTTGCCTGTTTAATGGTCTCAAAGTTTTCTTTCAACCTCTTGATCTCTTTGTTTCGCTCCCTGAGAGTCTGCTCCAACAGAATCAGCTCAGATCTGTATTTCTGGTCATACAGAAATGGGAAGAATATGATAATGTAATGGTCAATGTAATTTTCAGTGGCTAGATGCTTTGCCTACTAGCCGATGATCTTGGATTTCTTCTTTTGTAAACTCTGGCAAAATGGTCTGGTTGTTTGTCCACTCCTGGACTTTGGTCTTGATCCAGAACTTGAGTTTTGCGTGCACATCAATTTGTCCAGAGCTGGCTAATTTGTGTGCAGAATGTTGGTTCCCCACCTCTCAGGCATATGTACTCTTGACTCTGAGGAAAAAACACCCCTATTAAGTCACTTCCTAATACATGCTTGTTGTAAGTAGTGGGCCTATTCTCTGTTCTCCAAAATGGAGTCCTGGAACCCACATGCAATAGTCTTGGGTTCAAATCTGCAACAAGGTGGATGTTTTATAAATGACCTCGATTGACCTCACCTAAATGGGTACCAGGATATGTCTTGGGAAGTAAAAGTTGCTGCTATAATGTTTACCCCACAAAACCCATTCACTGCAGGTTGGTCTATAAAAACTGGGTGTAGCATCATATGCCTAAATATATGAAGAAGAAGAAGACTAAACAAACGGTTATAAACTTATTAGTCACCTAAGCAATATGTCCTATTGTCATAAACATATTCCTGAGTCTATGACACAGCCCTACCCTTAGTTGTCTCTTAAATGTTTTGCACAGTGCAGTGTCACTATTACTGCTTTTTCTAAGGGCTCTGTAAAACACTGTAACACATATACTAAGCCTAATAAGACCAAAGGAGGCTCCATTTCATAATGTTGCATCGGACCAGGAACTAGACAGGCTGGATACATGCATTTCCCCTCCTCCTCCAAGCACCCCAGCGAAGTGTTGGGGAGAAATGTGAGGATCATCTGTGTGCTCTTTCTGATGCATTCTTTAAGTTGGTCTGAATTTCTCTACGGTTGTTCTTGACCCCACTGTTCCATCATTTGCATATTCTTCTCTTTGCTTTGTATTTTTATATTTCTCCAAGCATGGCTATGTGACAGCTAGTACGAGGGCATTCTTGTCAAATATCCAAACAAAGCACTAAAAATACAATTCTGCAATTACTATGAAAAAAGTATATAACTGATCCGACAAGTTTAAAAGAAATATTATCCTCATCACGTGGTAGGTCCTTTGTAGAACATAATCTCATCACAGTTTAGCTGAAAGAAACTCGGTCTTTTGCTCCTACCCAAGATGTTTCTTATTTCCTGTGCCATTCTTTGTGCTGGTCATTCCCTGCTCCTCTTTCCTTGTACATGCCTTCTGCTTTTATTCTTTCAAATCCACCATGGCATTTGATATGGCCAAGATATTTTATAATTTTTTTTTGAATGTGTGTTAGCCAAAACCAAATGTTAATGCATGCATCAAGTCTCTGATTTGTCACTAAATTTGATTCTTCTTGTGAAAGATAGCTGTGAATATGTTTCCCTAACCAACACACATGCTGGCAATTGTTCTATCTATTCCAAATTAAAATGTACCTATTTTTAAAGTTGGAGGATAAGAGAGACAGAGGGAGACCAAGAGATTAGATAAAGGACAGATCTGCATCACAGCATGGAAGAACATCTGTACATGAAATAACTGACAGTACATGAGACAGAGGCTGTGGATGTATGTTTGTCCTAACCAACACATATCCTAGCATTGAAATGTTATGAAACTGAGGTGACCTGGCATTGAAATGTTATGAAACTGAGGTAACCTGGCATCGAAATGTTATGAAACTGAGGTAACCTGGAATCGAAATGTTATGAAACTGAGGTAACAATGTTGATTAAACGTTGATATATTACTTCTTCCACTGCTGCTGTTTTCACTTTCACTTGGTATTCTGTGACTGTCTGTAAACTGTCTTGTGAAATTGATAGCATTCTCTCTCTGTCCTTCACCCTGGCCTCTCGTTCACTGAGTATACGATTTTCTTCCTAAAGAATAAATTATTAATAAATGGTCAGTATTAGAACACACACTATACTTAATGCGAGATCACAATAATACAGTTAACACATCATTAAATGAAAGGCAAAAATAGAGAGAATTTAAAAAAAAAAAAAAAAAAAAAAACAACTTCCAGCCCCCAACCCCTCACTACTCCCAAAAAACAACAGGTACACGCACGCACACAGACACACAAGCATCACCATCACAGATGGTGATCTTTAATTCACACACAGCTTTGAGGCTTTCCAATGTTAACAGTCTCAAACCCAGCACCAAGGCAAACTGACTGACTCAATCACTAACAGAAAAGAAGACAATGACCGACTCACCAATAGAAAAGAAGCCAATGACCGACTCATCAATAGAATAAAAACCAATGACGGATTCACCAATTGAAAAGAAGCCAATGACCAGCTCACCAATAGAAAAGAAACCAGTGACCGACTCACCAATAGAATAGAAACCAATGACCAACTTACCAACAGAATAGAAACCAATGACCGACTCACCAATGGAAAAGAAAAAAAAAGACCAACTCACCAATAGAATAGAAACCAATGACCAACTCACCAATAGAATAGAAACTAATGACCAACTCACCAATAGAATAGAAACCAATGACCAACTCACCAATAGAATAGAAACCAATGACCAACTCACCAATAGAATAGAAATCAATGACCAACTAACCAATAGAATAGAAACCAATGACCAACTTACCAACAGAATAGAAACCAATGACCGACTCACCAATGGAAAAGAAAAAAAAAGACCAACTCACCAATAGAATAGAAACCAATGACCAACTCACCAATAGAATAGAAACCAATGACCAACTCACCAATAGAATAGAAACCAATGACCAACTCACCAATAGAATAGAAACCAATGACCAACTCACCAATAGAATAGAAACCAATGACCAACTCACCAATAGAATAGAAACCAATGACCAGCTCACCAATAGAATAGAAACCAATGACCAACTCACCAATAGAATAGAAACCAATGACCAGCTCACCAATAGAATAGAAACCAATGACCAACTCACCAATAGAATAGGAGCCAATGACCAACTAACAAATAGAATAGGAGCCAATGACCAACTCACCAATAGAATAGAAACCAATGACCAACTCACCAATAGAATAGAAACCAATGACCAGCTCACCAATAGAATAGAAACCAATGACCGACTCACCAATAGAAAAGAAACCAATGATCGACTCACCAATAGAAAAAAAACCAATGATCAACTCACCATTAGAAAAAAAACCAGTGACCGACTCACCAACAGAAAAGAAACCAATGACCGACTCACCAACAGACTAGAAACCAATGACCAACTCACCAACAGAATAGAAACCAATAACTGATTCACCAATAGATAAGAAACCAATGACCAACTCACCGATAGAAAAGAAACCAATGACCGACTCACCGATAGAAAAGATGCCAATGACTGACTCACCAATAGAAAAGAAACCGATGACCGACTCACCAATAGAAAAGAAACCGATGACCGACTCACCAATAGAAAAAAAGCCAATGACCGACTCACCAATAGAAAAGAAAGCAATGACCAACTCACGAATAGAAAAGAAACCAATGACCGACTCACCAATAGAATAGAAACCAATGACCGACTCACCAATAGAAAAGAAACCAATGATCGACTCACCAATAGAAAAAAAACCAATGATCAACTCACCATTAGAAAAAAAACCAGTGACCGACTCACCAACAGAAAAGAAACCAATGACCGACTCACCAACAGACTAGAAACCAATGACCAACTCACCAACAGAATAGAAACCAATAACTGATTCACCAATAGATAAGAAACCAATGACCAACTCACCGATAGAAAAGAAACCAATGACCGACTCACCGATAGAAAAGATGCCAATGACTGACTCACCAATAGAAAAGAAACCGATGACCGACTCACCAGTAAAAAAAAGCCAATGACCGACTCACCAGTAGAAAATAAGCCAATGACCGACTCACCAATAGAATAGAAACCAATGACCGACTCACCAACAGAAAAGAAACCAATGACCAACTCACCAATAGAAAAGAAACCAATGACCGACTCACCAATAGAATAGAAACCAATGACCGACTCACCAATAGAAAAGAAGCCAATGACCAACTCACCAATAGAAAAGAAGCCAATGACCAACTCACCAATAGAAAAGAAGCCAATGACCAACTCACCAATAGAAAAGAAGCCAATGACCAACTCACCAACAGAAAAGAAACCAATGACCGACTCACCAATAGAAAAGAATCCAATGACCAACTCACCAACAGAAAATAAACCAATGACCGACTCACCAATAGAATAGAATCCAATGACCAACTCACCAACAGAAAAGAATCCAATGACCGACTCACCAATAGAAAAGAAACCAATGACCAACTCACCAACAGAAAAGAATCCAATGACCGACTCACCAATAGAATAGAAGCCAATGACCAACTCACCAATATAAAATAATCCAATGACCAACTCACCAGTAGAAAAGAAGCCAATGACCAACTTACCAACAGAAGAGAAGCCAATGACTGACTCACTAAAAGTAGAGAAGCTAATTAAAGATTACAAACTTACCCTCAGCTTGTCACTTATGGCTTGTAATTCCACATAGATATTCTTCAATTCCTCCTTTGTCATTTCTGGATCACCTACAATGCAACATTTGTCATTTGAGAAAGAAAAAAAGACATATGTTAGATATTTATAAACTATTTTGTCCCAGAGGACTGATATTTCGGCTCTGCCATCTGTTAAAAATTCTAATGAAGCCTATGTATAGTCTTTGCTGCAGAGGCCAGTCCCGAGAAGCTTAGTTAACAGCATTGGTTCTGTTTGTGCCTGTGCAGTGTTTAGGTAGACTGGGTATGATTATATTTACTAAAGGAAGGAGGGAGGGGTGTTATGGATTATTAGACATGTGTTGTCATAAAATGTTTCAGCTCTTAAGTGTTGAACTGCAATGGGTCTGATCATATACCGTTTTTTTTTTTAGTCCAAGGGAATGTATTCCATTTAGTTCTCCACTTTAACCATGTTTACTGATTACTCATCTTCAATTTTTTTTTTTAAACAATTAACAATTTACATAAATAGTTCTTTTATGTAACAAATAGGGGTGTTTTTTGTTGTTGTGGGGCTTCCTGGGTTTATAACCCTTTTCCATGTGGGTTTCTCATGCAAAAGAGTTAACTTAGCTTAGAGGGATACCAAGCATTAGAACTTCCACATGACAGGCAATCAAACTTCCATTATCAACCATAAAGCCATTTTGTTTTATTTACCCTATTCCACATTTCTGTTGTCTACCTTTCATCTGATAGTTTTAATCTTATAAATGTACCCATGTATTCTATCCAAGGGTGTATTCACAAACAGAACCAATAACTTTAAAGCAGCTAAGTGACCAAATAAAAATATACTTTTATCATCCATTCTGAAGTAATGAAACAAAAATATACCCTACCATCCATCCTAAAGAATTGAAAAAAAAAAAAATATCTTCATCATCCATTATGGTTAGCATCTGTGGCTTGGTTTAATCCCGACTTGCTATAATTTGCTTGTTTGCTTGCGATAATCACCCGGTGACACAAAGTGCCACCATGCGGATGAGGATCACCCGTGGAGAGGTCCCAGAAACCCCTTTCAGCAGATATGGCGACAATTGTGGCACAGCTATATTCAGGGCCCCTGGCAAAAGCCAGGGTAGGGCTTCAAATAACAAAAAATTGTGTCCTACGAGGGGACGACGGGATAGAAAACGTGACAATTTGGCAGCAGACTGTCTTGTAATGGTTTTGATTTGACAGTGATACAGAGAGCCGACCATTCAGGGGCAATAGAATACTACTGACCATAAAATTTGCCTGGAAAAACCGCAACAGTCAAACAAAGCTAAGGTTGGTTCTGCAATGTCCTGCAAAGGATACGCAACTAACTTAATGTTCATTATGAAAAAATGAACTAAAAAAATTACCCTCATCATCCATTCTGAAAGTCGTCAGTTTCTGAGTTTTTGATTTTGGTCTGGAAGAATATGTTCCAAACTGTGACTGCTTCATGACATCTGCGTTGTAGTAGCGATCATGGGTGGAGTGATCTTTTACAGATGTAGTGGATGTCCTTCAGTAAGTGTAGCTGTGATCCTTCAACAGGGGTTGTGCTGCTACTTCAATAAGTGTAGCGGTGATCCTTCAACAGGGGTTGTGCTGCTACTTCAGTAAGTGTAGCGGTGATCCTTCAACAGGGGTTGTGCTGCTACTTCAGTAAGTGTAGCGGTGATCCTTCAACAGGGGTTGTGCTGCTAGTTCAGTAAGTGTAGCGGTGATCCTTCAACAGGGGTTGTACTGCTACTTTAGTAAGTGTAGCGGTGATCCTTCAACAGGGGTTGTGCTGCTACTTCAGTTAGTGTAGCGGTGATCCTTCAACAGGGGTTGTGCTGCTACTTCAGTTAGTGTAATCAGGCCAACTAGAATTTCACAGAAATAAAATGATATTTGTATCTTCTTAAAAACATGCAGTTTTTGTGAAGTGTTTGCTTGTACCTTAGAATAATGATTCTGTCAAATCCAATGCATACTCAACACCATTATTCGGTACTGAAATCTAGATAATGAACAAACCATTACGAATTCAGGTCCTGAGATGTAAATGTTGTAGAACGGATGCACAGGCAAACCTCTAGATCAAGACTAAGGTCCAGGAGTGGATGAACAGCTAGAAATTTCCACCAGAATTTACAGCCAGTGAACATGAAAAAGAAGAAGATATGTGAATAAATAGAAGGCTATTCTGTATTTCATGGGCAAAACAATTAAATATGAAGTTCTAAAGAGACTGGGAAAGAGTGTTTTTATTGAAAAAAAATAATTGGAAGCCCATCGGGATTTTTATTTTATATTTTTTAACATGCAACAAAACCAGCTGAAAGGTAAGTTGAAGATGGTAAGATAAAGAAGAGTCCTGAAGACAGAAGTAAAACTAACAGTCACAGCTAAACTTTAATTTTAAAAACATGCCAACGTATTCGTTTAGTACTTCTAAATACAGTAGTTCTAGTACATGTACTAACTACTAATAATAACTTACTTTACTACTAGTAGTTAATAAACAGTAGTGTAGTGTAGTTGGTTCGGTATTCATCATTCGACAAGTCTGAACAAGTGAGAATGACAATTCAATATATTGATATTAGTTTGATATAAGTAATTAGTAAACAACAAGTGCACGTCACGCAGATATTGTAAATACCTGAAAAGCAACTCAGGCTTTTTTCCCCCCAACAAAGAGAATTTTATTTTGTAATTACATAACCATAAGCCGCATTTAAAATAAATTCAATGTCCCATAGAAACGTGAAACTTTCGCCTGTTCCGGGTAACATTTTTTATTTGCAGTTTTTTAAATAAGGTTCATAACTATGTAAAACATTCAATATAAATGAAACAAAATGTCATAGCAAATTTTGAATAATTATGAATTATTACAAAATCTATGCCCTTTTAAATATTCAAAACAAATTAACAATCATTAATATGCAATACTGAAACAGAAAATCCCCCGACACCGAAGTGTGATAAAAGAGGAAATGAAGAAGATTAAATACAAAAGAAAACAGCACTACAGAGCTATTATAACCAAGATGAGTCGAACAGGATATTGATTAAATTACTACTACTACTACTACTGCTACTGCTACTACTACTTTTCAGCATCATTTTCTACTACTGTGTCAACATCACAGCGTCCGCGATTACTTCCCAAGAATTTTACCTGGTACCCATTTAAAACTGGGTTGACCTGGGAGCCAAGGTCAGTTTTGAAAAAAAATCCAGTACCGTCCCCACTTGAACCCATGACAATTAAAAAAAACTGAGACTATGTAATTTTTTATTTTTTATGTTGTACCCTTCTAGATTTGCATTGTGTATGTTTATTATAGTGGGTATATTTCAAATGACTTTTTAAAATACATATTTATAGCTCTGCCACAGAAACCAGGCACTTTAAAATGTGAAGACCATCACACGATAAATCTTATGAGTCACTTGACTAAGATTTTACTGAGAATAATAATGAAAAGAATAAGAAACAAAATTAAACCAGAAATCAGCGATGAACAATGTGGATTTGTAGAAGGAAAAGGTACAAACAATGCCATTTGCATCCTAAGGACATTGTCAGAAAGAGTTATAGAAGTAAAGACTGATTTGAACTTATGCTTCATAGACTATACAAAAGCATTTGACTGTGTGAAGCATGAAAAAGTAATCAAACTGTTGGAAAAATTAAACATTGAGGGAAAAGATCTACGAATAATAAAGAATATGTATTGGCAGCAAACAGAAGCTATAAAAATTAACAACTGTTTATGTAGATTTCAAAGCATAAAGAGGGGCGTACGACAAGGATGTGTACTGTCACCTGATTTGTTTTCACTATGCAATGAATATATAATGAGATCTTTAATTGATATGCCCGGAATTGTGGTTGGTGGGCACAATATAAACAATTTACACTATGCCGATGACACAGTCTTGATAGCAACAAGTCAGAAAGAACTACAGGAAATGATAGACGTTGTGGTGTTAGAAAGTGGAAGAATGGGCCTCAGTTTGAATAATGGGAAGATAGAAGTAATGGTGGTATCAAAGAAACGAACTATTCCTAAATGTGTAATAAAGGTCGATGGTGTTATTTTGGGACAAGTATAGAAATTTAGGCATCTGGGCACATGGATAACATCAGATGGAAGATGCATAACTGAGATAAAAAACAGAATAGGCAGGCAAAAACTGCATTTTATAAAATTAAGAATATGTTGTGCAATATATCCTTGTCACTGAGAATTAGAAAAAATAATTCTTGCTTGCTACATACATCCATTTTTAACATATGGCTGTGAATCCTGGATAATCGGTAGACAGGCCAAACAATTTCTTGCTGCCTTAGGGGTGTTGTCTTACAGAAGAATGCTTAGAATACCTTGGACAGCCAAAATGAGCATCCAAGAGATTTTGAGAGAGGCGAGAGCCGGAAGACAACTTATCACAGACATCAGAAGGAGACAGTCATAATTTTTCGGCCATGTTATGAGAAGAGGGAAAATAGAACATGTTGTGACCACTGGAAAGATCTGTGGAAGGAGGGACAGAGGAAGACAACAAGAGAAGATTCATCACAGTCTTGTTGCATGGCATGGAGGTGTGTCGGTACACGAACTGATACATGCTGCAGGAGATCACAGATTGTGAAGAGGCATGATCGCCCACGCCAGTCGGCAAGGCACCTGCTGATGATGATGATGTAGATTACCATCTAAGACAGTGACAAATCCCGGAAACCATGTTATACTATAGAGCCATGTAGCACAGTTATACTGGACCACTACATTACGGCTACAACATAAATTGTAGTCAAGTCTGGGTGTTGTGATAAATGTACTGATTACTAATTTAAGAATCGAGACACTATAGCACATCGGGCATAACCATAGATGCTCCGTCTCCCGCAGCTAATATCTTACGATGCAGATGCTAACGGTTCCCGTAGCACACTGATTATACACACGTCGTTCTATTCCTCTCATACGTCCCTCCTTACCGGACCTTAATAGGACGTTTCAGAACCAACCCCGTCATTTTTGAGGCTCTTTGTGATTTGCAATTCATTTTAACATTCAGTATTTTGGCATTGCTCTCGATAACACTGTCGAAACCAACGCTGGGCGGTTTGCTGCCAAATCGCCCGCAGCTAAGATAAAACCCGGTATCTTGATATCAGGAAGCGCCCCTCTGGAACGCTTAAGCTACAATGTTAATGAGCCAGGTCGTATCCTGAAATATTTCATTGCCACAGTAAGTTTGTGTCCGTTCTCTCTTTTGAGGGGTTGGTTTAACCCCTGGTTTGCTAGCACACTGAATTACTGCATGGCAAAATTTGTTTACCTCTAAAATGTGTGTCACCAGCATGACACTTTTAAAAAGTTATGTTTTATAAGAAGACATGATTTTCCACTTGACCAGTATGATTCAGGCTGGAACTGCCTTCTTAAAAATAGGACTCTGAGATTTTCACAATTTTTGGGAAGTACTCCAGTTCCAAGTTGCCGTGGCCGAGCGGCTAGACGCTCGTCGCGGATCGGAAGGTCGTGGGTTCGCTCCCTGGCGGAGCCGGACTTTTTTCAAAAATGACCTTGACTCCTAGGTCCACCCTGCCTTGAGTTGGTACCGGGTGCAGTCCCGGGAAAGTAAAGGCGGCCGGCGTGATGCTGACCACATAACCCACCTTGTGCCGATTAGTCTATAAAAATATAGGTCTAGCCCTATATGCCTGATGGCGTGGAAAAGGGTTCTTTACTTTTCTTACTCCAGTTCCAGTTCCATTCTAGAAAACCGACCACATTCAACCTGCTGCTGGCAGCGAGCTGCCAAAAGACTCCAGGTATATTGTGGTCAGGTTTATTTGAGCCTCTTTCGGCGACCGGGTCGACCATTGGCTGGCGTGTAAACGGCTTTGTCGCCGGTGGAACAGTGTGTGGGTCTGTCTCCTTTGATCGCATCAACACTATAAGAGTCCTTTTCTGGGCATCTTTCTAGACCTGACCAGCGCTTTCGACACCTGCTGGAGGGAAGCCGCCATCAGAAAACTGAGCGTAGTTGGTATTGTAGGGAAAACTCTCAACTATATCAAGAGATTCCTACAAGACCGAACCTTCTCAGTCGCAGTTAAAAACGAAAGGTCGGCAACCCACAGGCAAGAGAACGGCACCCCACAAGGCTCGGTGATTTTCCCAGTTATCTTCTCCATCCTCGTGAACGATCTCGCGGGGGCCATTGGGGTCGACAATGTCGGTCTGTCCCAGTACACTGATGACTGCGCAATATGGTTCTTAAGCATCCTCATAGAACACGCCGTCGATCAGCTGCAGGAGGCGGCCGACAATGTAGCAGGATCGATGGAGAAGTGGGGCTTCAGAATCAACCCGACGAAATCCGTCCAGATGATATTTCACTGGAAAAGGAAATCGTGGGCACATACTGACTCTGAAACCCGCATCGTG